TCTATGTCTATGTCTATGTCTATGTCTATGTCTATGTCTATGTCTATGTCTATGTCTATGTCTATGTCTATGTCTATGTCTATGTCTATGTCTATTAATGAATTAATGAAATTTGTAACGGTTATGCCTTTAAGAGACTGAACATAAATTGCTGCATAGGGAATTGGGTGGAGAGAACAGAGGGGGGCGCACATTGTCGCGAATACCGTATTATGTGAAAGGTTCAGGACATTCTCGTATCCAGAGCCCACGTTTCTCTTCAAGTGTTCAGCACATTGAAACGAGAGGCTGTGGCGGCGGCCAATTTTTTGTGCGTTCTGATTGTTCCGAGGCAAAACAGTACTAAGCGTCTTTCCGGAAATAAAATGTTTTAAAGAAACAAAACTTTTATTAAATAAGTAGATTTACAAGCACTAGATCTGCTTGGATCGAATAGTAGGCAGTCAGAAGTCACCTAATTAAACGAATTAAATCGGTTACAGCCAGAGCCTCTCGTTTGTCTGTGTAGACCAAGAGAAACGTGGACTCTGGGTACGAGATTGGTTTCAGAATATTTAATTGAATCCGTTGCAATAACTTTTCTAATGTACATTTTTCACTGTTTTGACTTGCAGCTAAGGCGGTAGGTTTGGGCAAGGGGCTACAGCCTCCAATAAATCATGCTTTTGGCCTGATCTTGATAAACTAATACGATGATTTATTGATTACGAAATCAGCTAATCATCCTAAATAAGGATATTCTGTTATTTTATATCATTTTTAGCGCTATATTGTCAAATCTGAACCAGATGTTCAAGCACCCCTTTATTTACGTAACACATCAAAAGAAGTGATCTACGACTTAACGTGCATGATGAGAAGCCCTGAATCGAAGACAAGTGCACGGTAGTATACTGCATTCTGTACTGAAATCAGTCTGCATTTGTTGACTTAATTGTACTGTAAATAAGTATTGAATCAAACACGTAAACAATGAGGTCTTGCTGTGGCTTTGAATTTTGCGAGCAAAGTTTCCCAGCAACAATTCGCAGTTTGCGTGCGCTTTATTCGTCCACGTTTTAGGGCATTCTTTAGGTGTTGAATTCCGCAAGTCATTGCGTTTACGTGCTTATCTTTTTCATTATGCAGCAACCTGAATTGCAATAAATTTTCTTAGTTTTTAAAAAAGAAGAGTAATTAAGAAATTGAGATAGATGCTAAATGCAAAAAATTCGATCGTTTACATTTTTCTTGATTAATTCCACGCTACAATTTTTCAGTCTCCTATAATTTATATTTAGCCATTAGTCCTCGAGCTGGAATGGACTATGAGTCAAAAGCCCATGAGGCCGAAGGCCGAGGCTCAGGCATGAGGACGAAAAATTTAATTGTTTTAGTCAAATCCAACTATTCGGTCAAAATATTTAGATGCAAACAAGTCTTGAATTAAAGTTAAATTCAGTTTTTTGGTTTTCAAAGCTAGCAGGCTTTAACTTATAGCCTAGTAGTAGCTCATCCAATCAGAACGCCGCATTGATGATAGACTGCTAGTTGGATTTGACTAAAATCAGTTATACCCTGTCCCTGTATGTATTTTTTAATTGATTTTCTTATCCATTATATCATTACTGCTCTAAACTGAAGCATTGTCTTTGATATCAATATTTCCGAATCGAAATAGGTCAGAAGTAGGGTACTACAATAGGCAAAAGGGTAAGATAATGTTATATATTTATATAACCATCAAGAACTTGTACCAAGAGAATATGAACCAAGAGAAGGAATCCCCGCGCCCCATCATGAGATTTCTTTGATGCTATTTTTAGAATCACTACTTTGATTTTTTATTTCCTGCACGCGCATACTGCACGCGCTCTACCCTGTTTGCTCATGTTTTCTTTTGTTTTTCAAAAAAACCTAAGCAAACGAACAGCGTAGAGCACGCGCAGAAAAACAAACGACGGCAAAAGTGATTCTAAAAATAGCATCAAACCGAGCCTATGATGGTTACAAGCATAAATACCAGAGATTCCTTCTCTTAGTTAATTTCCATTTTGCTTGTACATACTATTCCTGGTTACATACACTTTCATTGTCAATCTTTCATATTGTTCGCACATTTAGGACGTTCTGTGAACATCCTTGACTTGAATTCCTGGCCAAGTGCAGAAGACCTTGAACTCGACTCTTCTCAACTCAAGGCGGTACAGATGGCACTGACAAAGGAGTTTGCAATCATCCAGGGACCACCTGGGACGGGCAAGACGTACATTGGACTGAAGGTGACTAAACTTAGGAACATAATTTTATTAGATACATGTATCACCATATTTCTATAATTCAAATTTTGTATTGATATTTAAGGTTGCAAATGTGTTGCTGAATAACAAGGTCTATTGGAACACAAACGACTTACGGAACGACAAGAGATTGGGATTGCATGACAAACCAAGATTTTTTAGTCATCCTATCCTATTGGTTTGCTACACCAACCACGCTTTAGATCAATTTCTGGAGGGAATCTATAAGTTTCACCCCGAAGGAATTGTACGGGTTGGAGGACAAAGTCAAAGCTGCATGCTGGAGGAGTGCAATATACGTAGTATCAAGGAGAAAATAAGACAATACCATCGAGAGAGATGCCAATACTACCGCCGTCTTGGCCGCCTTCGCCGCCAACGCCGCCAACAGTGGTATTATGATTATTACAATAGCGGTAGGTACGCAGCTCGCTCGCTCGCGGTCTCCCTTGTTTCCTATATGATATGGACACTCGTAAATAGAAACAATATCAAGATCTTGTGATAATCTCTGTATATTAAAAGAGTTTTCCCGCATGACACAATGAACGATAGAAAATGGGTTAAGATTAAATAAGCATGTTTTTTTTGAGTTAATTTGTTCATATTTTAATTTTTAATAATAATAATAATAATAATAATAATAATAATATTTCTTTATGGTAGATGACGAAGTTGATGAGGGAGAACTTGTATTCCCAGAGATTAGCGAGGAACTCGAAGAAATCTACCACAGCCAAGATTGGATTAGGCCCAAACTCACTGATTTGTACGATGAGCTGAAAGAACTTTCCTCAAAACTTGAAGGAATATACGATGAGATTCATAAATTGAAGACAACAGTTATGGACGAAAAGGAACTGCTTTCAAAGTGTACTGTGTTTGAGAACAAATATGACTCGATTGTCTCTCGGTTTAAGGATGAAAATGGGAAGAACATCAAAGTAAAGCCTAATGTTATGCACTACTGGCTTGGACTTTTGACCAACACTTTGGATTTCATTGAATCAGGTATATTTATGACTGAACTGAATTAATTTGGTTGTAAACTACCTAACTCATATTTAGAGTTATACTCTTTGATCGAGCTCGTACGTGCTTCTCTTCACATCGATTACAACATAATTAAACTAACATCACTTTAATTTTAATTTTTTTTTTTCAAGGATTGACTCTGCTACAATTGTTGTCTTTTTGCCAGTAATGTTTAGACTGTTATTCATACCTACCATAACTAGCAAATATATAAATAATACATAAGAGATATATACTTCTCATACTCATTAATAATTCATGAGGAAACCAGCCAATCAATGGGCTATTTGTGGGTCACATGATGTTACTAGAAACCTGGTAAAGTCATGTGAAAGGACTGAATTCATTCTCTAGTAACTGGAACAAAATTAATTCAGTCCTAGGACTGAATTAATTTTGTTCCAGTTACTCCAAGTCGAATAAATAATGAGATGAGAAGTCAAAGCCTCCAATATCGGACTGGACGGGATTTCAAGTCCGCGCAATTAGCTCCAGTCCGAGGCGCAGCCGAGAACTAATTGGAACTAATTGCTTGGACTTGAAATCCCGTCCAGTCCTCATTGTCGGCTTTGAAATATTACGTCTCGAAAGTTTGATTCTTTAATTGTACCAGTAGTATCTTGCATTTTTTTTCTTTTGTTTCGTTTCATTTTTTTTCAATTCTTTTCTTTATTAATTAAGCTTTGTTCAAATTGCTTCCGCCTCGAATAGTTTTGTATACTAACTGCGGTTAAGCAATTATAATTGTAACATTATTATTGAAATGTGAATATAAAATTTGCTGTTGTCGTTCTCGTTGCTGTTATTGTTTAGCACTTCATTTTATTTTTGAGTGTATTTTTTAGATGCTACATACGAATATATGTTTTATGAGTTTTCAGAGTTAGAAAAAGTTTCTAAATCTTAAAGTATTTTGCTTGAAACAAACCAGGATACCTAATGTCGTTTTATCAACTAATTTTAAACCTCTTTTCATGCACAGGTTCGACCTTTGTCAAGCCAGTTGCCACGTATCTTCTCTCTAGAGCGGAAAGGATTAACGCCGTTAACTCAACAGATGAGCTCGTTTTTCACAAAGTAAAACAAGCAAAAGGAGTTGATGGCGATTTTAACGACTTCTACGCAATATTAAATGGGGAGGACTCCTTTATTCTAATTCCAAATATGGAAAGCTCTTCGATAGACACGCGTTACTCTATGACTATTTTGCTGTATGTTTATCTCGAAACCTCTCCTGGACCAATCGTTACCTTTCATCAAAACGGTGTCATAGGAATCCAAATCCAGATTCAAAAAGGTGTACAAGACTTCAAAGGCGTTTTGACTGTAACTTTTAACAGGTGAGCGAGAATGCCCGTGTACAAGCACTACGCACCAAACTCGGCACAGTCGCCTTACAGCTAATCGACACAATGCTAAATCTTATCAATGAAGTCAGCTTTCAATTTCTCCCTGGAGAAAGCCAATATTGGACAGTTTAACAAACTTAATAAACCCTTAACTGAAATAACTGTTGTGAATTGATGGTTTTCAACCATTCCCAAGAGAATTAAATAACAAAAGACATTGCGGCCATGTTGGAGGATATAACAAAAATATTCATTGACAATTCTTTTGTTAAGTTCCTCCAACATGGCCGCCGTTAAAACCATCAATAAGTGGGTTGAAATAGTACTTCCCATTGCAGTCTGATACCTGGCGCATTGCATTCAACATGATGCCGGAATTTTGCCCGAACCGTTTTCTTAACAAAGTACCCTTTCCCAGTAGTTGCTGCTATGATGAATTCGAAGAATGCGAAATCTGCAGACGACAAAACCGTTTCGGAACTTCTGTTTAGATTTTTTACTTTATTTTAGTTCATGAAAACTGCATTATTGCAGTACTACTATAACGATTATTTGGAAATTTTTTGCTTCTAGGCGTGACGGCGTACTTTCCAAGCCCCTTATCACAAATAAAGTCCTGGAGTGGAACGAATGGCACTACATTGCTGTGTCCTACGATTATAACTCTGGCATCGTGCGTGTTTATCACAATGGAAACATGGTTGGAGAGCACCAGAATGGCTGCATGGAGATTGCCTCCCACTTGCCTGTTCAGATTGGATCTCTTGATCTTCCAAATAACGAGAAATCAACCTTTTATGGAAGGGTTTCTTCTCTTTATTTTTTCCCTGAAGCCATAAGCCTAGAACAGATCAGGGCAATCGCCGGAATCCCAGAAGAGGGTAAGAAAGTAATACCCTGAATGTAATACATAGAATAAATCAAAACGAATAAAGCTCCCACATGTGCAATATTACTGTCAAACTTCGCATAATCTATATGAATACTTGTAAGGGTTATTACATAACACAAACACATGCAAGTGTACAAAATCTGATATCTCTTTTTGCAATTCGTAAACTACAGACTCTATATACTCGAACATGAAATTGCGGTTTAAAGTTTGCAATTTCCCATTCTTTAACATAGATGTCATAGAAGCAGAAGAAAAAGTGTTGGACGAGTCTGAGGGAGAGAAGTTTGCCACAGATAAACCACAACACAACATCGTCTTTGAAGCTGATGCAATGGAGGAGCTCCGGAAATTAGATGTGGATATCGATGAAGTTTTACATTTTGGTGGACGTCAACGACATAATCCACAGCCATACCAAGATATTACTTCATATACAACATGTGATAATAGTAATCAGGGGGAATGGCAAATGCAGTGCCCTAAGTTTGTTGGAACCAGAGTTAAACAAGTCCTGAAGAAGGAAATGGAAAAGACAGATATGATGACTGAAGATGAGGCAAACAAGGTAACAGAAGTATGGAAGTTATCTAGGCAAGATAAATGGCGTCTGTACAGATACTGGATTGAAATACTGTGTGAGATCTGCAGAAAACAGGCTCGAAGGTTAGAAATTCTGCTGAAATTCGATTCTGCTAAAATCATGACAAAACTGTTAAAAACATCATGCGCCTGTATTCATAGTCGTGAATAGTTTCGGAATATTAATAGTAGTTTAACCTGCAAGCAGGTGTTTCTTGTTTCTCTGTATTAGAAGGAGAAAGACGAAACCTCTGCAAAGTACGTGAAAAGTAGTTCTTAGTCCTCAATGAAATTGTGACAATTTTATGATTCGAAATAAGTCGACACTATGCTGCTTCATTTTTCAGTGCCTTATCTTTTCTTCTACACTCCTTCCTTTATCTATAGCATATATCCAAAATTCGAAGAATGTGCAGAAAGAATAAAGGCACTGCATCGACAAGAAGATCTAACAATTCTACGAAGGGTAACAATTATTGGCATGACAACAACAGGTAGGAGGTACCACTGGACTAAATTACATAACTAAAAAAACTTGTTTTCTCAAATTATAATTGTCAATAAACCCAAGGTATTTTAATGTCCTTCGCCATTGGTATGAGTACCAGATCCACCCGGGCCGTCCCCTGAGACTGACACTGACCCAACGACTTCGAAGTCACTGCAATGCCTTTCCTATACGCGATATAGAAAATAATTAGGTGGATTTACAAATATGAAACTTCAAAATTTTATGTACTTTATTACAGGAGCTGCAAAGTTTCGTGAGCTCATACAGGAAATTCAACCACGCATAACCATAGTAGAGGAAGCTGCTGAAGTATTTGAGTCTCACATCGTAACATCTTTGAGCCCCGGATGTAAACATTTGATTTTGATTGGTGATCACCAACAGCTTCGACCCAATCCTAATGTGTATAAACTGGCTAAAGATTACAAGCTAGACGTATCACTCTTTGAAAGAATGGTAGGAAAATTGGCTTGTACTGAATTCTTGGAAGCGGAAAATGGCGCTTACTACTATATAACTTGAATTTTCATTTAAGGTAAACAATGGAATGGACTACCAAACACTGCGGAAACAACATCGAATGCGTCCTGAAATTGCCCGGATGATGAAACCAATTTACGAGGACTTGGAAAATCATGAATCTGTCTTGAACTTTGAAAATATCAAAGGCGTCAATAAGAACATATTCTTCGTTGAACATAACGAATTGGAGGTAGGAAGAAATTCGAGGAACTTAACCAACTGATTGTCAAAATAGTTTATGTTATAGTAAACATATATTTGTTTTGCAGGATTTTGTTAACGAAGGCAAAAGTCGATCAAACATCCACGAAGCCAAGTATCTAGCAGCTCTTTGCCGTTACTTCATCCTGCAGGGCTACGAACAGACTCAAATAACCATCCTGACCATGTACGTTGGACAGCTGTTTCAGCTCAAAAATGAAACTTCCGATGAAATCTTTCAAGACGTTCGCATCTGCGCAGTAGACAACTTTCAAGGAGAAGAGAATGACATCATCTTGTTGTCACTTGTCCGTAGTAACGAAGAAGGGAACATTGGATTTCTGCGCATCTCTAATCGTGTGTGCGTCGCGTTATCACGAGCAAGGAAGGGCTTCTACTGTATTGGTAACTTAGAACTCATGTGCACGAAAGAGAAACTTTGGGCTACGATCATTGAAGATATGCGTGAAAGAGGAAATGTACGAATTTTGATAAGTTCTAGATTGGTATAATTATCAAGTTAACCTGTCATCCGACATAAAACTACTAATTTAATTCTGTGTGGTTTTAAACACTATCAAGCATGTTATGTACCAATTCTCTATCAGACCATTAAGAAATAATTTCTTTGGTGTTTCTGCTTAAAGTATAACCAGCTTTCTCAAACTTTCTTAGATCGTGGTTCTTTACAAGCTGGTTCCAATAAACGGGTAAAAATGTAGGTCACGTGGCCATGAAATTTACATAACATTTCATTTCATTTCAATAGTAGGTGTTCAATTTAAGTCTTTGCTGAACGTTTTCACCCTTAATTTATTTCCTTTCTTAAAGTCGATCAATTCACGTTGAGAATTGTTGGCTAAAAATTTGTGTTAAGGAGATATTTGACAAAGCAGGTCACGTGACTTGTCAAAAATATCCTTTATGCCCATTTTTCTCCTTTCGTAAACGTTTTGGTCGACCATTCCAAATGTGAATATCTACATAATCTTATTTAAACTCTTTATCAAATTTGGATTAATGAACATATTTCAATGTAGGTTGGCCACTCGTTGACTCTCATGTGCCAAAACCACCCTTGTACGCAAATTCATGCGTCCAGTGCCACAGATTTTCAACGTGCACCGCAGGGAGGATGTCCCTTACCGTATCATGCTAGACTGGACTGCGGTCACGCATGTCGGTTATCATGTCACCCAAGGGATCCTGATCATATTGAGTACGAATGCTTGGAACCTTGTACGAAGACGTTGTGTGATCTGGGTCACAAATGCAAAAAGAGGTGCTTTGAGGAGTGTGGACCTTGTCGTATTCGCAGAGAAAAGATAATGCCTGCATGTAATCATACCCAGAATCTTCCGTGCTATGTTGACCCTGGCAAAACTAAATGCAGATTTCCTTGTGAAATACTTAAATGTGGACATCGGTGTTCAGGTAACTATTATGGCATTATTCATATGCAACAAGCAATAGCGCATATTATGGTAACTCAAGACGAACTCAGTAGATTTTAAAATTAAAAAATAAATGCTCTCTTTTCGTTTCCCTTGTATTTGTCCATGCACTTTTTCTTTACCGGTATCGATTCCTGCTATCACAAACACTGATTATTGTAAAAGCTAATAAATTTATTTAAATCCATTTTTAAAGTAAATTTTAGGTAATCCGATGAAAATGGGCATTGCTTTTCAATACAGTATCGTATTTGTTTTTCTTCAAATTTTCTTTTAAAGGTAACTGCTATCAATGTGAGCAAGGACGTTTTCACTTACAATGTAAGCAGAAATGTGATAGAACTCTAGCATGTGGCCACAAGTGTCGAAATATGTGCGCGAGAAAATGTCCTCCTTGTTCTCGGGACTGCGAGAATGGATGTGTTCACAAAAAGTGTCGTAACAAGTGTTGTGAACCTTGTGAGCCATGTATGATGCCATGCGCTTGGATATGTAAACACTTTGAGTGTAGCAAACGGTGTAGTGAGCCATGTAACCGACCAAGATGTTACGAGCCCTGCAAGAAGACATTAGTACCATGTGGTCACCAGTGTATAGGTATTTGTGGTGAACCCTGCCCGAAAACATGCCAAGTGTGCCATAAAGAGGAAGTCACCAAGGTAGTGCTTGGAGACGATCCAAACGCCAAATTTGTAGAGCTTCAACCGTGTGGACACGTGATTGAAGTTAATTTCATGGACGCAAAGATGGATGAATGTTGCAATGATATCCCGATCAGCATACAGCTTAAAGGGTTAGTAAAATAACATCTTTTTTGTTGCCATTTTTTTTAGAGAAAAACAACGCATTCCGAGAGAAAGACAATTGTTTTTATTAAGTAAGATATATTCGAGCGAAGCTATAGATTGAATTTACTTGCTGCACTCCTCAGTAAGGACAGTCCATGTAAAATGTTTGTTAAGAAAATTTCATCGAGCAATTAGTAAGACTGACCGGAGATGCGTTTCTAAGAATATTTTTTGATATTACTAACATTTGAGCTTGCATGATTAATGTTTTGCAGATGCCCTGTATGCACAATGCCTATTCGAACCTGCCCCAGATACAGCCACATCAAGAATACGCTAGAGGATATCTCGAAAGTCAAAACGGCGATCACCGTTCGTGACTACGACATTGCAGAAGAGACGATCAAAATAAAAAGCCTCATCGCTTTTTCTGACAAGTTTGTAAAAAGTTCCCTATTCATTCGAGAAAAATTGGAGAAAAAGAAAATCACAATGGAAAGTCTTGAAATGTACCAGAACCAGATCATCTTGTTAAATCTGCTAAGTAAAATGCTTAAAGAAATTTCTCACATGGAAAAAAATTCAAGAACTYCAGATGGCCAGCAAGAGCTTAAAACGTCTCTTGAAAAAGAAGTTACAGCTCTCAAAGATAGAGGAATAAATCTAACCCGAAGTTCTTTGGACTGGGGCTCTGCTAGCGAAATTAGTGACCAAGAACAAGAGTACCTGAGGGATGAAATCCTTCGCGTACAGTTGATTGTGTCGTACAAAATACTTAAGAAGTTGATCAAAGAAAAGGAAGATACTCTAAACGACGCAGATAAGAATGATATGGATAACATTGGTCAGACAATAGACTCTGGTAAACGTATCGGTAAGCAATCATTAATCCTTGTCATGGATTTTGTACTGATGCGCAAAAGAACATTGACGAATTCTATTAGGGACGTTTAGCATGGCGTTCTTGCTAGGTACCGCAAACCTCAAACTGCAGATCGACGTCAGGCGTCAAACTTTTRACGTTTAGCAAGGCATCATAACGAATTTGTTGCTGAAAAAGCCGCCATATTGAATTTCATKGATGCAGAGTGTTTCTCCGTGTTTGCGGACGTTTTTCTGGGCCTGATCGCTAGCGCTGGTAGTAGCGGTAAACTTGATCCTAAAGGTCTCTATAACCTGATTAAACACTTCTGCAAAATTATTACCATCAAGAAAGRTGGCAAAAAGGATAGGGAATATTTATTATTATTCTAATAGGGTTACTTGAGCGAGCACGGCTGGCGTCCCAAACTTGTGTGTCACGACGTTGCTAGAAAAGGGCTGGGTGTTGATGTTGCCTCAGGTCGCTGGGAATGTTGGGATCTATTTAGATTGCAATTGTTTGCTGGGGCATGTAGCAGAAAGTTTCAAGAGGGGTGTTAAACGGCGCAATTTTGTCTTGTATCTTGTTTGCAACTCGGGTTTCGGCTGCGCAAAWTTTTCTTGAAACTATTCTTGCGTCGAAAGTTTCTTTGTTTTCATTCCACGCCGTCTCCTTATTATGAGTCCGTGTGTACATTCATACACCTGGTTAAAAAAGGTTGTTGGAGCCGAAGACGTTTGGAACTATAGAAGATAAGAAATAGGAAAATCCCCATCCAAGAATATGAGGAATAACTAGTGCGTTTCTGCTTATTCTTATCAACTGACACGGAGTTTAGTGTTGTGATATTCAGTGGTGCTTGTATCAACAAAGAGTCAACGAAGTCATTTTAAACTCCAATAATTCCATAATTTCGGTCTTGAAATATCTATTTTGGTGCTGAAAATCATTTGYTGGATCGATGGATGATCGTCGTTTGGTTTAATGTGTTTTTCAACGTACACAATGCGGTACGCCTAAAATTTTTTTTTGCAGAAGCGGAAAAGCTTGACTCGCATATGGAAATCCTTGAAAGGATTCGCAGTTCATATAGTATATTGATGTCATATCAAGAGAAGGCAATCACAAGGGAAGACACGATGAAAATCATGAGCAGCAAGATTGGTTTCACGGAGGGGAACTGGTTTAAGTGTMTTAACGGTATGTGTTCATTTCAAAGCCACGGTACAAAGCTTCTGCATGTTTATTCCAACTGTACAAGTGATCTGTTTTCGGAGAATGCGAAGAAAAAGAAACTAAAGCCTAGTTTACACTAAAGACACAAGCAAAAACATAACATACGCAAGCGCAAGTTGCAGTATTATAGGCTCGACAGAAAGAGTCCCCCCCCCCCCCCCCCAAATATAAAGGGATTTTTAACCTTGAATGACTTATCTGCGCTTGCGTATGTTTACGTTATCATTACGTTATGTTTATGTTTGTGTATGTTTATGTTTACGCTTACGCTTGGGTCGCTAGTGCGAACCAGGCTTTAAAGTTATTTGAACAAATCGAYGCACGGCTTGATTGGTAGCCAAGATAAGTTTTCTTCTGTAGACTAATACATTCACATTTTTCTTCACATTTTCTTCACATTCTATTGATACCCTGAAAGAAAAACTTTGGGCTGATTAAAGATTTTAATAGCCGGGATAAGGCTTACTCACAGATTGAATTGAGTTTAGCGTCCTAGGTTTTGAACAGAGGGGRAAATCGGTAAACCCGAATCAAGGGAGACCTGACAAACTCTCCTCTCGCAACGTCATACTAGCTTGATTGGCTACGCGTTATACCTTATGCCTGTATCATATCTTCTTTTTTTCAGGACACATATACTCAACAGCCGATAGATGTCCAAAGTGCATTTAGGCACAGACAGAAAAATTAATCCGTAAACTTGTATTCACCTATATTCCAAGAAAGGTTATCAGAGTCAGGAGACAGGCACCAAGCTAAGAGAGATGAGGACCTGATTGACTGTATTTTTACGCCGGCTTTGAACACAGTTCTAAGCTATTATTAATTAGTCGAATCCGAATTAGTCTTCTCGCCCTCATGGAATATGAGTCAATAGCCCATTTGGCTTTCGACATCATGGGCTATTGATTCATAGACCATAAGGGCGAGAAGACTAATTGCTAATTATTGGTATAATTTTAGACTTGAAAACCAGAGAAAAGACGAAGTTAAGGATAAAACGTTTTTTTTTTTTGTTTTGGAAAACCTCTTAATTACCGCTGCTCGAGCAGTGATTATCGTCTCATAATCACTGGTCTCTCGACCAATCACAGCGCGCGAAACTCTATACTATCTTGCCTTATTCTATGATTTCAAGTCTAAAATTATACTAAAACAATAGTTGACCTCAGATTCAGTGAATTTAGGGAATATAATATCGGTATATATATCGGTAAATACTCGCCGATAATCGTTAAATCAGCAAACCCCAGTTTGACATAAAATGCCCGTCTGAATTAACACCTATTCGGGC